TGCAATATTTTCACTGGAAATGAGTCTATAGGGCTTCTTCTGCTATCGAGCCAGCCCCTTCACAAGTTATCCTAAAATATGCTACTCCAAGCTTTAACTTTACAAATGGCATTATTACAATGTTTACGCGTGTCATGATTGGATCAGTTACACCTCAACTGAAAAATGAACATATTAGAGATGTAAGTCATAGAAATATAGTCTGTTATTTATGGATGACCCGCATGCGTTGTTTTATCCGCACACCACGGCTAGTGATTTGCCCGCATGCAGCTTCTCTGCATTATAACTTATATCTGACCTTTTCTCTACATTTTCCTCTTCTGTTTTTCAGTGAACTGTGATTGGAGGAAAAGAAAAAGTGCTAGTTTTCAAGAAAATCTAGGATCATGTTTTTGCTGCTGCGTAAACAGTACCCCCGCGTTAGAGGGCAGCATATGTAATTGCTTAGGAGCCCTTAAGCCGAGCCGACAAAAATTTCCTGACATGATAGGAGAGTGATGACATGATTTGACAAAGCTTATAAGAACATATTACTTGTATTACTTTTGTAACAATGCAGAAACTACCTGGAAATGGGTCCAGATAGCGGGAAGAACCTATTTTTAGCGCGTTGCAGGAAGCAACTTTCAGTCCTGATAATCTCGCAATCAGTATATTATGTAGTCATCCTCACATACCCTTCAGAGCTACGAAAGGAGTTGGTCCGTTTTATACGAGATGAAACTCAAAGAATTCAAGATGAGCGAAATGATGCCCGTATCAAGAAGGCTTTAGAATCCGGCTTTGAATTGCCCGACTTGGACCCAAGCCCACACGTATGTTTTTCCCCCTTTAACTTACTTTTGAACGTAAAGTACTCACTTTTGGGCTTAGAATTGCAGCACGTATTGGATCAGTCTGAAGTATTTGCAAACAAATTCTCTTTTATCATGCGGAATTCACCATCCAATGAATTAGCAGAGTTGATGCGAAGACAGATTGCTATGATGAACGAGGTAAATTTAAGAATCTTCTTCTTATTTCTGAAACCTTTGATGTTGTTTTGATTCTAAGATTACAATCAGTATCCTTGTAGAAGTTGTTGGTGCTCGCTTCTTATAAGCCTCCTGCTGCATTTATATTTCTCAAAATCTTATTTTCTCTCATTAGGTTATCATCTTGTCTTTCAGATGAGCCAAGTTATCCGTGTACGCAATTGGGACGTTGCCCAGCTGACGAATAAATGTGAAAGTGCTGTAAACGATGCATCCCACAATGCCGATGTCCATCCCCATGAACTCAGTAATCTCAATGAAAAGTTGAGAGTGAGTCGCTTACCATCTTAAATTTTGTGTGAGAATCGTGATAGATACCCTAAATCATCCAGAATCTTCATACTTCTTATGCCTGTCAAGTGGAGGTACTTGCAGAAAAGCAGCGAAAGGAGTTTAGGTGAGCTAATAGGATAGAAGTCTGAATACCGTGTGTTCATTAAAGTCTGTTGGCTATTAGTTTGACTGTTTACACTATGACGTTTTTGGTTTCTCGCAAACTATAATGTCTGGAAAAGTTGTGTTGACTTTATAATGTACGAATGTTGTAGCCCTTAATTATGTTTTGAACATTTCAGGGATATGGTCGACATTTTGTATGACGGCGGAAGTCTTTTCACTGATGCAAATAAAGCTGACGACACTTGTGAGCTGTGAGTTTATGTAGGTATCTTCGTATCTTCCTTGCTGTGATTTTTATGAAGATAACATTCAAGGAGAAGGTCTACACTGAAATCGGAGAGTGAGGAACCTGGCATCAACGAGTGCTATACAATTTACATAGGTACTTCATCATTTTGCTCTTTACCCTGTCAAGAAACTTGGAATAATTTGGCTGTTTTAGGAGCTCAGCTAAAATCTATGCACAATGTTCGATTGTTGACTGCAAAATCTATGGTAGATCTTTGTACTCCGTTGAAGGTTGCGATAATCTTTTCAGTGACCAATTCTATGGCAAACTCCAAGTTTTTCAGGGTACTGATGTAGGTTCACTGCTTCAAATGTCAATTTCGCTTTATGGAAGACAACTGAGTGCTTTGATAATGTTGGTCTCAAGAGATCCCCTCTATCATTGCAGCAATGGTTCCAGTATGTTATCACTCACTTTCTCGTGTCGTGTATCTTAGTATGCTATTTCTTTTTTCATTATAGGATTTGCTCAGGTTTGTGAACAGACTACTGAGTTGCATTTTGATCCACTGCCTATCCAGCTCAAAACTGTTGTGGATTCGGTTAGTTTTTTT